CATTTTATATTTATCATTATTGTCTGCAGTCAAACCAGTCGCGGAGCTAGTCGTCGGTTAAATAAATAATTTGCGTTTAAAAAATTTGTCATTACAGTAAGAAGTTCGTTGTATTTAGCACCCTCGTTAGCACCGTTGAGGATTGATCAACCCCTTATTATAAAAACTTATTACATTTTTAATCCTTTCATATTCGCGTTTTGCGTTGTTCGCACATTATTCGTAAACCCCGTAAAAATGGCATAAACGGTATACCCTAGCATATTTTTTGTGGGAAATTTAACCTCCTATAATTTATTATTTCGTATCAATTTCGATTTGACCTGCGTTATGAAATAAATGCTCCAGAACATGATTTTTATAAGAAAACTCCGAAAAGTTAGCGTTCGGTGTTTTTTTTAGAGAAGATTCTTCCCGAGTCATTATTATCGGAATAGTACTTATGTAGGAAATGAGTATTTTTGGAAACAAAATTCGTACCTCGATTCGTACCTACCTATGTTTTGGAAATATAGAAAATGTTGAGACCTCGGTTGAGACATTGTTGGCAAATAGAGATTTGTAGGCAAGAAAGATTGATGACTTTCAATTATTAAGCAAATTCATCATATTTAATATACACCTACACAGAATATAAAAAAATAATTATAAAGCCAGTCCAATTAGCTCATATCCAAATGGTGGTCATTTTAATATTAATAATAAAATTCTATTAATTATTAACACAAGCACACTGGGGAAATGTGCAATTCAATTTTCTGTACACAAGTAATTGCCAAATGAATAATCAAATTCCACTCAAAACCTTGCTCAAAACTTTAATGATGTGTGTCAAGATCAAATATAATGAATAAGAGCAATAAACAATTACAAAGAAGTAATGTAGTCGTCGTACTCGCGCGGGTGGCAAAAAGTACAAATATGATTTTAATTTAATTTAACTAGAGAATTAGTAATAGATTCCGCCAACTTTCAAGTTGGAAGTCAAAAACCGTTACAAACATCCGGTTTTCCCTTCTGTTACCACCCTTCCAAATATTATCTTTGCGTGAATATCTTTGAGAGTAATGATGTGTGATTTCAAAAAGGGTCAAATCCTTTGTTTCATTTTTATGTTACACTAACGCGTGTTTCTACAATTGCTATTGGAATAATTGATTCAATTTTGTTAACTCTGGATGTATGTAGTTTCTGCGAGTTGGCGACAGTAGAGCAAACGTTTGGCTTTCTTTTGCATCGTTTCATGGTTTCTTTGATCCGCTTTGGTGCTTACAAATCGGATGAACTGGACGAACTCTTCCAACTTGGTCTACAAGCATATTTCTATCGTGCACATACAAATGAAAATGGACAAACACAAGGATTTGTACTTAAAAGTGGACACGTAAATAAGTTGTGAGATAGAGCCGAGGCTCTAACCTATGGATGAAATTTCAGGAGCGACTGGACGGATCGGATCTCGGATCGGATTAGACAATGTGGGGTGCTGACTTTAAATTTAATTTTAATACTTGCCCAAGAATCGAAAGAAAGTTATACAAACCAGTTGTCAATATTATTGTTATTATATTGTTTGTAGGTATGTAAAAATCGAGGTAAAAATACACAATCTGTTAACATTGTGTCTTAGTTACGTTCACTTTTAAAAAATGGTGGATAGAATAATTTGAAAGGTCATTATTTGAAAATATGTATCTACTTTTTTTTCGTGCCATATAAAAAAATAAACTTAATGATTTCTCCGAAACAAAACGTTGTATTGAAAATCTCTCAACGCTGCCTTGCTGCTGTCTCAAAAACTGGCAAAGAGAAAGTGTTTTTAATTTTTTTGTATCTGCTCAAATAACATCAGAAAAAATAATAACAGAATCGGCTTTCGGTTTATTTTGCATATCTTCGAAAATAATCGGAATGTTCAGAATTTCTTTTTTACGTCATAATAACTCTTTAATTGCGCAACTTTTCTTTAATTTGACCATCGTCAGGTTTTCCAAGATCCCCATGATAGACATCCTTATCTTGGAAACAGTTCAGTTGATGTGCGCAACTTCTGTTAAAATCGTAAAAATCCGGCCACAAATATGAAAGATTGTTGTGCAAATGTGCAATCCATTTTTGACGTGCTAGTTTATAAGAAGAATTTCATTTCAATGCTTTTCTAAATAAGAAAGTTGGAACTGCGCATGCGAAAATCTAAATTTTGAAACTAACGTTAGACCTATGTTTCAAAAATCATAAATAAAAATCCATAGATAAAAAAAGTTAGCACTGCGCATGCGCAAAATACTTTTGAAACTGGCATTAGATTTTCCTTTATTCCAAGCACCTATGTATCAAATTTCATTTAACTGCTTCCATAAATAAAAAAGTTGGCACTGCGCATGCGCAAAACCAAATTTTGAAACTGGCGTATCAAATTTCATTCAATTTGCAATTCGGTTTATAAATGGTCGAGATGCGAAAAGGGCACTGTGAATTTTGAATCGATTCGACTCAACTTTTGGCATTGCGTATTATATGGCTAAGACTATTGAATTTCATGCAATTCAGTTCATAACTAACGGAGATGTAAAAGCGATCGGACATTTCTAAACAAAATTATCGTTCACACGGACAGATAGAGGGACAGACAGACAAAGGAACAGACGGACAGACCAACAGACAGACGACAGACAGCAATACAAATTTATAAACGATATCTAGGATCGTTAATAAACGGAAAAAGTGTAAAATTATGGAACATGTAAAAAACGGTTTGTTGGTTTTTTTACAATAACTTTTTTAGTAATAAACGCAGAAAAAATTCCTTCCTTGGTGCAAGCCTCGACACCATAACGAACCAAATAGCGAATAAAATTAAATTAAAATTAAGATAAAGAACTAGTAGCGTCTCAAAACGAGCGGACGGACGGAAGGGTTTTATTACACTGCTTTCAAAGTTTAATATGACCCCAATTATTGAGAAATCTGACATAATACAGAGCTTTTAAAAAATACGTTGTAAAATAGTACTATTTAGAGAAATATGGTAGAAACGAGGGTAAAAATATATTTTTTTAATTTCGTAATTTTCTTTGATTTATCTCTTTTTCATTGTTTTTAGATCGGCAAAGTTACTAAAATAATTGAGAAAATAATGTTGTTTCAGACATAACTTAACAAGATATTGTCGATCAGTAAAATTACAAAAAGTAGATAAAATTTAAAAATTTGCTAATCAAATATGTACCTACTGCCACATTGATAAGAAAAAGCAGAAGTTGTCGAATTTTATGGGATATATTCTGCATTACTTGGCAGTGCCTTGCAGTACTTTGTCAATATCTTCAATACCGAAAATTCCGAGGAAAATTCATATCAATTCTTCAATACCTTATACATGATTTATTTCGATCCCGAATAATCGGGAATCTACTGTATAATTTTCGATATTATAACCTCGATTATAACAAAGTATTTCTGCCTGTTTCGAAGGCATTTTACTCTTGAGCAAAGTTCATATTATTTCAGCGAGTATTTCACATACCTACCTCGCATACGACTAAAAAAATTTGATATCTGATGGTTGCATTTTACGTTTCACAGATTATGCTGAGGATCATGCAGAATTTTTTTATGAACTGCTGTTAGTAGGTAGCTCGGTAGGTAGGTAATAAAAAAGTTTCCCATATGCCGCGAATTTAAGTGGACACACTGTATAATCAACATTTAGTTTATACTCCCGAGATTAGGTTCACTATACCCTCGACTATACCTACCTATACTAATTACGCACATTTTACATGTTTCAAGAAAATGTCAGTCTTTATAAAAATCCTGTTTTTTTTTGTATAGACAAATCTCTAAATCGGGCGTTTTAGTTTTAATTTATTTAGATTTAGTTTTCCTATAAAATGCGGGATTTTCGAATAAATTGAAAAAAACCAGTTTGCAGCATCAAGTTTTTGAGTAAGTCCAAATATTGACGGACAGATGATCCGCACAGGATTATTAGGTATACAGTGTGAGTGTATCGTGGGTACAAGTTCGAACGTGCTGTTTGCTCAAGTTTCTCGTCAGGAATTTTATTTCACCCTCGAGCAAGAGATAATACAAAAAATCTCGTAACAAATCAAACCCTCTTTGTTCAATTTCTCTCTTATTTTATAATTTCCTCATATGAAGAAAATAAAAACTGCACTGCTTGTTGAAATTTGCAGTAAATGCAGTCGCAATAACTGTAACTTGAATAAATTGCTCATGGATCACGTTACTTTATATTCCAGGTATCGTAATATGCATTGCAGATCGAAATTACAATCCAAGAAAATGCACTAAACGGCAAGAAGTTTTACGAAACCGACTAGATTTAGAGATTTCTATTTACGAGGCTATTTACTTTCCTGCTATAATATAGGCAACATAGATGATTAAACTAAAATGTTACATAAACATCGAAAGAACTTTAAAAGCTTCAAATTAGTCTGTATACAAAATAAAGTTCAAACATTTTAATATCATTTGGTGTCCACACCAAAAAAAGTAAAGCGTTAGATTAATTATTGTAAACCCCACCAGAACAACGAAGTAATTTAAAAGTAATCAATAATACAGACATTTGTTTATTTAACCTTTATACTTCATTATGCATCAAAGCATCGGAAGATTACAACAAATGTTTGGGAGTATGCAATTTCAGGCCTCTCATGATTTTTTAAATCACGTCTTCTTATCGGCAGGTATGACGAACGAATTTAAATTTTATTACAAATCGTAAGCGACTTTTACGGCCGATAAAAGTGCGATTATATGAGTAAACTAATGATTGAGAAGTGCTCAGACAAAAAAATGAATCAACAGGTGGCGATAAAGAGGGAAAACGTGCAGAGTAACGAGAACGACCTCTCCGCAACGGACCGCGAGAGCAGGTGGAAGAACGCCAATAAAAAATTCAAAACCTGTATTAACCTCGCCTAGACCAATTTTAAAAATTACAAGATGAAAAAGGGAAGGATAATTACCTGCATCCTCGGAGCCATTCTCTAAAACGTGTTCCAAACAGAATTCACCTGGAGGCAGTAAAATGTTGTGTTCGTTTACAAACAAGCTACCGTTTTCTTGCAAGTAAGCTTTGTCAAACTTTCCGGCGTTTTCCTTATGGTCTTTGCACACTGGGAAGCCCTCGATGATTGTCATGTTTGAGCCGACACTAATTGTCCTGTCAGTTCCATTAAGCGCTACACATCGGTTTTCAATGTCGTTATAGGCTGCATTGGATCCGCAACATTTCCTCACGGGCACGATTTTTTCATTTAAACAAACAAACGCGATATTGTAGTCGATGCAGTACGAAAGTGGATCCGCTAATTTACCGTGAAACTCCACTAACCATAAGGAGCCGTTTTGGAAACCAATGAAATTTTCGATTTTCGTCGCGTTTACACCGCGGCAATTAGGAAATTGAGAGGGTTTTAAATGCCAGTTCGTCGGTACGGTGTTCCGAGGTATCGGAAGGTAGCTTTTCTTCTTTGGGGAGTAAATTTTGGGTGCCCACTCGTCAATCTTGCCGGACACGCAAGTATAGCCGTCATTTTTCGAAATGTATTGGTCAAAGGCACAACACTTAGCCACAGTAACATTTTTCAATGCAGTAATTGCATTTGAGAAAGTTGCCAGAATGAGCATTAAAAATATTATTAAGTTCCACATTGTTATTTATATATCAAGGTCACAGTTAATAACAAACGATAAAATCACATAATTAAAAGAAAAGGCCAACTACAACAACCACGTGTCTTCGTTCATATTTAAATGCACGCGCACAACCGACTATGAGAACTACAAGTGACGGTGTTACCATCAATACTACCGGTTTAGCGGAGCCCACAAAGGAAAGTGCACGTTGAAATCCCCCAACACTCTTTCTTGGCTCGACTTATTGGCGGCGAATTCTCTTCGTTTTAAAATCGGAAAAAATCTCACTCTAATTGAGCATCAATTAATTACAGTAAATAAACATAATCTAAATGGTTTACTTTTGATGACAAATCAATACTATAAACTTAATGGTGTCACAAAACGATACGTGGGAAAATGTATAGCTGCCCGTAGATAGCGATGCCTCAAATAATATTCTCAGAACGGCGGACTAGGCACCATATCAGACGAGAAAATTGCAAAAGTTTTTTTGATATGCAGTTACTTGCGACGAAAATAACCTGATAGATACTGGAAGTAGAACTTCTTTGTGCCAAATAATGTTTACGCAGCTACCGATTTCGATGAACGACATGTGCTCAGGTTGAGTTGTAAATTTCGCGGAATACGTAAAAGGCCGGCATTGTTTTCAATTTGCCCATCTGGTGCTAAGAGACCTTTCGCCGAATTTAGACAGCATCGTTCATGACTAATGAGGCGAGGCTGCACAGGCGATATCAAAAATCCGTCTAGGGCGGGCATACACGTTGCGTTGTTTACCGGGGAGGTTCACGGTAACCGGAAAGATTAGGTAGAGAACACTACGCAGTGGTTCCCAAACTTATTTTCATGGCGCCACCTTTCATATAACGAAAATTGCTCACGCCCCCCTATCTGTTATCTGTTACTACAAACGTATTTATTTAAAAAAATTACAGGGTGAGTGTTTTTCATTTTCACTGTGGGGAGTCGGAAACCGTTAAGAGATACAAAGCCGCATAAATAGGAAGTTATGCAGAATTTTATGCTGATTCATTTTCTCTTTCAAAGTTTCTTGTAGGTCTACAAATAGCGAAGTTATAGTCAAAAAAACGTAAAATCTCATTTTTGAGAATGAGTTGGCGTCAATTTATTTTCAAATATTATATCAAAAAATAATTTTAACAAAACCTTGTTGAATTTCTAACGGTGCTCAAAATATTATTATGGCCCATGATAGTATATTAAAGTACAAGTGTCATTTGACGAAGATTGTCGCACGAGGTAGTTTGCCGCATAAGCCGCGTAGCGGCGAATGCGGCAAAAGCCGAGTGCGACAAGCAGACAAATGACACGTGTGCTTTATACTATTTTTTCTATTTCGATTTTTATTTTAAATAATAAATTATACAAATTATAAATATTGCCTTTAGGCGTTGTTAGGTAATTTTAAACTATCATTCAGTGTATGTTGGTAATAGACACAATTCATTTATTTTCACGTTGGCTAACCTGATTCCTGTATTTTCAAACTTCAAACTTTTAATTATTTGGTCCTAATTCCATTTTGCGGCAGTTATGATAAATACGGATGACAAACACGTCTCTCGTACCCCACTAGAGATCCAAGAGATTGCCAATGAAGCGAGTTAAATTTACTGCCTGTAAAATCGAAAGTAAAGTACGAAGAGTACAAAATTTTTGAAAACTGGCTGGCCGAGAAGGGGAGTTCAAAAAGTAAGCAAGAATGTACTGCTGGCATATTTTACTAGGTACGCTAAGTAAAAATAAAAAAAGTTCTACCCTTTGGAGTATATATTCAAAATTAATCGGAATTAATACAATCGGTCAAGTTCCTCGTACGTTATTTACACTTTACAGGTTATGTTTAGTTTTGATTTGACGGATACCGTTGACAGCAAAAAAGCAAGGGGTACCAATCCAACAAAATAAAAAAAATAATGCGTTTCTATTTCTTTCGGCATTATTTCTGTCTAGAAACGCACGCAAACTGGGCCAATCAAGTACGGTTTCGGTATTGTTTCCACATCGAAATAGAAAAAATATGTTTTTCCATTATTGCAGCCATAACATAACATCAACGGCTTTTGAGGTTGTGTTTGGTTCATTCAAGATCTCTTCGTTTATATCACCCTCATATATCGCACATACACTATCATCCGGCAACATTGTGCAACATCGGTGCTTTCATCAGCATAAAAAGTCGAATTTACCGAATTACCTCAAACACATCACGGACCTCGTGCCCTCGTTAACAGCGCCTTGCGCCCCCCTCCAGTGTGCCAAAAGCATTTTCAGTAGGTAACTCTTCTCGCACGTCTATAATAATTATTAATTATACACTGCTTTATTCTTATCTTCCAATGTGTGGTTTCTCGGGTAAGATTTCATAACATTTGTATGGAGTAAAAGCATCATCCCCAAGAATGACGTGCGGAAGAATGACGTTTTTTGAATGTGGAAGTAATGACGGTTCAGGAAAATTAAATTTATTTTCGTAAATTGCTTTACCAATTTGAGATTTGGCAAAACTTCCCGCGTCGTCCTCTTTACCAGAGGATCGCCTTTTCCGGAGAGATGAAATTTTATTTGTCCTAGAATTTAAGTTTGGATTTATCTCTTAATGTCTGATAACAAATTGATTTAGAAAAATAATCGACCTCTATTTCTGTTGGCCTAATACCGTGCATTGAAGGGAGAGGCTTTGTTGTCAACTTCTTGCAATGTTCCATCGTTGCATTGCGGCCAGTTTGTTGTTCATTTGACGCCACAGCCAGCATCGAAAGTTTTCGTTCAATGTGAGATTGAAGAGTGAATAGTTTGGTTTGTGTAGCCGGAAGCCGAATTCGCGGCTAATTATTTTTCTACGTTTGTTCGTGCGTAATACAACGCCGAAGTTTTTCTTTATGTCTTACAGGCTGGAAGAGTTTTTTTGTGAACGTCTTTGTCTACCCGAAGAAAAGATGCTGCGATTGGTAGATGTCGTGAGTGTAAGGTGCCAATTGTGTTAATTGAACATTTTTGTGAACTGTGTATACCTTTTATTTGGATATTCCAGTTTCCGGACAAGTACTGTAAGTAATTAAGTCATCATTTTAGTCTATTTGTAATAATTGGAGAAATCATCATCAACCTTATTTTTTTTATATGGTTCTTAAAAAAAGTACATACTGTATTTAATAGTATTTTTTATTAGGAATATAACGATGTACGGCACACAAAAAGACCAGTTGCGAAATCCTTGACAGAGCAGCTTCCGAGCTCAAAGCAAATATCAAACGTCATAACGGGCGATCAAAAATGAGGTACTGTCGAGTCGCCTTTGGATGTTCAGTACAGTATTTTTAGCGACGAAAATATGTTTACCCAAGGTCGTTATTTATGCACCCATGTTATTGAGAAAAAGACCATACTCGATTGCTCGTTTCCCAAAAAGTGATCTATATGAATTTTGGCTGACCAAAATATTTTTAACTAAAAGATTTTCTTGAAAAAAAGCTCTATTGCTCGATCCATGTGTATTTTTGGTTACCAAAATATTGCTGCGTAAAAATGTCAAAATCAACCGCCTTTTCATTTTTTCATACCACACCACATGTTCTTCAAACTTATGATCTTAATTTTATTTGAATCCTAAAGTACCTTAGTTTCGTTATGCGCAACCCATTATGGACAGTGGCACTTGTGCCCTCGCTATTCCGCCCGCCTGCCAGTCCATCCAGCCTAAGACTATATAAACGGATCGAATTTAAAGGTTACCTAGTATGCCTAGCCTAGGCGAATGGGTTGCGCTAGCAATACCCACGTAAAAACAGGGACCCGGACCGGACCAAAAAAGAACCGAAAACCGGACCGAAACCGGTATTTTTTCTGGACCGAAAACCGAACCAAAACCGTTATTCCTTCAGAAATGGAAACGTATTGAGAACCGGAACCCACATTACTTTTTTCGGTTCCTTTCGGTTTTTTACGGTTCTTAACCGGTTATTGGAAGTTGAAGGACGCGCCGGCAACCACGCCCTGAACATTGATAAAATATTACCTACTCTATGATTGTCATCGGTGGATTATAGATTTTTAATAAGGTGTCGAAATTGAAGGCATTACGGGTGGCGGTGACGCTAATTTAGCCACTACTTTAAAAAAATAAAAAAGGAGGGGCGAGGTTTTATAAAATAGGATTTTCTGTTTTTTAGTAATAAATTAAGTGTAAATACATATTTCCCTCTTCCTCCTTTATTCCCCTTGTCGTTATAAATTAGCTACACTGACGATACGTCACGTTTTGGTATTCATGACTTTTTCTTCACACCTATTAATTAACAAATCTCGTTAATGAAATTTTTGAATGCTAGACTTTCTGAAAAACTAGAACCGAAAATAACCGTTATGGACCGAAAAAAATTGCGCAGAACCGAACAGTTATTTCTTTTTAGAACCGAAACCGGACCGGAACCGTTATAATTTCGCTTCCGGGTTTCTGCGTAGAAATGGTTTTGGTTTAATTGTTTCTTTTGTTCTTCGCGCATTTCCTTTGTGTTCATCCTTAGTGATAAGTATTATTTTCCAATTCACCTTTCCTCCAATTTTACGGCCCAGCGTCCCGACGCTATTCTTATCTTCGCCATATTTGTTTAGTCCTCTACTATATAATTTGGTGTCCTTCCTTCTTTGTATTCCTTCAAGTTCTTCGCATTGCTTCCATACATAAGCACCCCTCTTACGATTGCATCAAACAGGTATTTTCTTATTCTAAAGTCATACTCCGTTTTTTTATTAGTTTTCTTATTTGCGCATTTGTCCCATTATTTCTTAGCATATGGTATCGTAAGTATTTCAATTCTCTTACTTCCTCTATTCTTTCATCCTTCCGTGTCCATTCTGTTTCCATTTTCCTTCCTCCCCCTTTCCCAAATCCAGCTTCGACTATTTTATATTTAACTCCAATCCCTTCCTTTCTCAATACCTCTCCATTCCTTCCATTATTTCCTTTATCCGTTCTACCTCAGTTGCCATTATACCCTCAGTCCATATCGTGTTTACTAACTCCCTATCTTTTGCTTAACCCTATCTGTTGCGAAAATGCAAGCTTAATTTCCTATTTTGTCTCTCCCAGCCGCTTTCCCCTTCTGCAGTCTTTTTAATTGCTGCTCAATATCTTGTTTATCTCATCTCTTTCAATCTCTTCTCTTC